TGCTCAGCGCATCGAGCGATGAACCTATGGAATTGACCAACGACATGTCGAAGCTCATCTTGCTTAGCACTCAGCGCACGAATTTGATTGAAAGAGAAAACATCCGCATTTTTCACAGCTGCCGTAGCACTAGAATCAGCAAGATTGTTGTAATGCCTACATCGGTCCAAGAAAGGCGGCAGCGCAATGGACGACTTCACATGGGCTTTGACCTTGTTAAACTCCACAGAACCTGGTGGTCTATCAACAAGTAGCTTATCGAATTTTTCCCAGAGATCAATGTGAGTCATGGCAGGTGGCGTGCGTTGGGTTTGAAGGCACTCCATTCTGACACGGGCCGCATCGACAGAATATTGGCAGTCTGAGTAAACTGTGCAGCGCAGCGTCAGCTGCAGCGCAAGCAGAATAGCACACACCTCCGCACGGTCATTAGATTGTTCACAACCTGGCAAGACCAGGGAATGCACGACACCTTCACCGTTGCAGGACATGTCCGCAACAACGGCTGCAGCAGCCGAAACAGAGAACAATCGGTTTTGGGGCCAGAAACAGGAGCCGTCAACAAAGATATGCAGCGAATCATTGTTGCTGGGCACCGTTAGGTGCAAAGAAGCAGAATGCAAAGCGGCGAAAAGCGGCCAAGGCTGAGCGCAAAGGGGTACTAAGCCAAAACGCCATACGCCTTCTGGCAATCTCTGCATCGTCGAAAATAACCCGGGAAACTCAGCGCGAAAAGCATCATAGGCCTGGCATTGGAAGACCCGGTGATACTTGGAGTCTGGCATATCACAGTTTGGACACTGCAAAGTTTTAGACGCATCCCACTTTGTCAACACGTCATGTGTAAAGTTACCGCCATGACACACAGACACACAGACACACAGACACACAGACACACAGACACACAGACACACAGCCACACAGACACACAGACACACAGACACACAGACACACAGACAGACACACAGACACACAGACACACAGACACACAGACACACAGACACACAGACACACAGACACACGGACATACATACATAAATGCATGCATATACATACATACATACATACATACATACATACATACATACATACATACACGCATACATACACATCTACACAGGTGTATATGCCCTCGTTTACGTGTATTTGTATTTGTTTACGTTTGCGCACATGTTTATCGACACACGCACTCGAGTCCTGAAGATATGCCTTACATTGAGGGAGGCAAAGCGCTGTAGAGTTGCTGCGTAGTAAGTCAGAATGAACACGGCATCCAAATGCGCTTAGGGTTTAGGGTTTAGGGTTGAAGATTTTCACTGCTAGTGGTATCAGAAAGATAACCCCAAAAGCCAAGCGGCCTGACCCGACAGCCAATGAACCCTGTTCCTAGACCCTAAACCCTAAACCCTAAACCCTCGACCGTCGTTGAGCCATTTTGGTGCTCCTGTCCAGCGGGGGAAGGGCCAAGGGTGTCCCTGCGGACTGCCGGCGAGTATCTCTCAGCCATGGCGCCGAAAAAGGTGACGCCAAAGAAGGTCATGAAGCCGCTTGGGCCACGGTTTAGGGTTTAGGGTTAAGGGTTTAGGGTTTAGGGTTTAGGCTCGGGCTTTATCTTGACCTGGTGTTCTATGCGGTTTTCATGTGGAGGCTTGTTTCAGGCAGTTTGTAGATGTCAGGGTTGAGGTTTGGAGACCTTGTGGTCCAAGGTTGTGTGGCAAACTCATGTAGGAATACGGTTTAGGGTTTAGGGGGTTTAGGGGGTTCAGGGGGTGGGTTTAGGGTTTAGGGTTTCGGGTCCAAACTACTACCGGTGTTACGAGATGTAGCTTGCCGGCTGAAACTGTAAGCGTTGCAATCTATCACCGGAACTGAAGACCCTAAACTCCACTCACTAAATCATAGCTGTTGCCGTTCGGCACGGTAAAGTTTAGCGTTGCTGCGGGTTGAGCGCGGGGCTCTACCTTTCGATGCGGCGCCTAAGTTTCGATCCTCTACCGAAAAGCGCTCGCCACTTCAGGGTCAGAAGTCTAGCTTAAACCGAAACATTTGAAAGCCAGCTACATCTGAAAGGGAGGTGAGGACGAAAGCAAGAAACCAACGAGTTTGCATCTGTCAGTATACATGCCAGAAGCATATAGATCATAGGTGCTTCTATACACCTACAAGCATTTTACATCTGCTTTGTGGCAGGAGATGGACCGAGCCAACCCCGTTGAGCCCTCCACAGCCAAACTTCAAAACACAGCCACTTCATGCGAGGAAGATGATGCGAAGGTGGACTCTGGAGTCTAAACCATCATATGTCCCCGTGGACAAGTGTCCCAAAGCCCACCAGAGAAATCTGTGAACCGTAACCTCGCCTGCAATTTTGTAAACTGCAGGTCTGCGTCGGGTTTCATGCCTTGCTGCAGAAGCCTCAATAATTACCATATACCTTAGGGTTCCTTATCATAAGCATTTCATACAGGAGCACAAAACCCTATTCTAATTATAAATGCCCCCACAACAACTTCTGGCAAGTGGCTCAAGGAAGAGTTCTTGGCCGAGACATGAGCCCCAGCCATTGAGCCCTAAACGGTTTAAGGTTGAGGGAATAGGGTTCTAAACCCTGCAACAGCACCTGCGCCCCAGGAAGATGAAAAAGGTGGCGATCAGCGAGAGGACTGGTCTCCCGAAGATCGTCCGCAGGGATCGCGGCCGACCTCTGGCTACAATTCTGAGATGCTTCAGGTTTATAATAGGGTTTACGGGGACTACTTGAAAATAGATGTGCTAGGCTTTAGGGAAGTATAGGTATGATGTTTTTGCGGTTTATGTGTTTTGCGGTGTGGGTTCAGGACTTCGAGTTAAGCATTCCATGCTCTCAGTTGAGCCTTTGCACAGACCTTGGCATGACTTTGGATGTCAGGGTCTTATGCATTATTTTTTGGGCAGCTGATAGGGCATCCTGGTGTTAAGTTATGCTCTTGACCCGGAAACCAAGCTAATCAGCCTTGCAGCCAGTCAGCGGTGTGGCAAGCGGGCTTTGCGAATTCGGGTGTTTCGTGGTTCTGTCGGGGAAATCGATGCCTTGCCTTGCAAAGAGCGCTGAATCCTCGACCCTAAACCCTAAACCCTACGCGATCCTTATCCTCCGGCTGGCAGTCATGTCAACCTGCACTGTAATGACTACCCAAAGGCCCCATAGTAGTTCCTTTTTGGGGTTTAGGGTTTAGGGTTTAGAGTTTAGTAGTTCCTTTTTGGGGCTCAAATTTAGAATCCTATTAGGTAATCCCAAAAAGAACTACTATGGGGCCTATGGGTGTACTAAACCCCCCAAAAAACTACATGCTACATCTAGATCAGCGAAGCCGCAAGCTCCGCATCTCAGCCCTTCGATTTTCAAGTTGAGCGTACGGCGAACCCGACACCCTGGGCTTCAAGATAACCCTAACCCCCCAGGTACCTACTAAACAGGGTACTAGAGCCCCTAGGGCCCTACATAGTAGGTACCTGGGAAACTAGGATAAGAAGGCCCAAAAATCTTAATCCCCGCAAGCTGCAAGCCCAACAGTTTTTACCCTCGGAGGCTTACGAAGAAGCTCTTATAACTTGGTGATAAGTTCGACCTTATATTGCTCCTGTATGTTGTCATGTCAAAACCTGCAGACATGTGACAACACCCCGTTGAATCTCCTTCTATTTCAGAACGGCCCACGTGTTAGACCGAACCCGGAGCTCTACCCTGAACCCTAAACCCCAAGCCCCTAAACCCTATAAACCCCTAAACCTCGGGCACCCATCTTCAACCCGAAGCGAACTCCAAGGCAAGGCAGCCATCCGAGCTACAAAGATGACGAAGGACTGCATTTTATATAGGGACCTTAGCAATTACCTATGCTATTTGGGGGGTTCCTTATTATTATAGTTATAGTATAATGGGCCCCAAAACCCTATTCTAAGTACTAAGGCCCCTATATTCCCATCGAACATGCCCCAAGCCCCGAAACAGGGGCCTAAGAGTAAACAACATGCGCTTGACAAGAGTGGTTTTCGGAACGGGCGTTGACGCCCAGGGCCTGTTCTAAGGCCCCTATATTAGGTTTCAGGTGTTGGAGTCCAGAGGAAAAGGGTTCATACGGTTTACGGTTTCGGGCCTCGGCTGAAGAACGGCAGAGGAGGCAATGTTGGCAGTCATCAAGTCCGGTTTCAAAAGGGTTCAGGGGTTTTGGGCTTTGGGTTTAGGGTTTGGGGGTTTAGGTTTAGGGTTTTTTGGTTTAGGGGTTTGGGGTTTATAAGGTTCCAGAATGTTCCAAACAACAACTTTTTGTGGTTCAGCGCTTTAGAGTGCTTCAACGGTTTTACCTTATTGTGCGGTTTACATGGGCTCTTCTTGAAGGCCGTTTAAGTTACCAGAAAATCAGGAGTCCATTTCAGGTGCCTGTATACATGCACAGACATACACACGCACGCACGTGTGTGTGTGTGTATATATATATATATATATACAGACACGTAGACCTTTGCATGCCTGCCTGCATGCTTGCATTTATGTCTGTATACATGTGTATATATATATATATACACATGTCTCTACATGTAACCATACACATCCCAGCCCTGACGGCGTAAAAGGCCCATAGAAGTTACAGTGCCCAATACGCACCCCAAGGCCTTAGATCTTGAAAGCGAAGCCTGAAATTTCTAGGCCAAAAGCCTTAAAACTCTCTGGGAACACAAGAACTAAACCACACAAAACCCTAACGTCGCACGCAGACCAGACCCTGGAAGTTGTATGCCCTATGCCCTAGACTTTTTTAGAAGCGCTATAAAGGTTACAACCCATAGCTCTGCAACCCTGCAATGACCGACTAGGTGAAACGCAAAATAGCCCTTAAACACCTAAGCCCTAATACCCAACAGCCCTAAAATAGCCCTAGAACCCCTAACCCTAAAATAGCCCTATAAACCCTATCACCCCTATAAGCCCCAAACCATAAGATGGCCCTATAACCCCTAAACCCTAAACCCTAAAATAGCCCTATAACCCCTAAACCCCAATACCCTACACCATAAAATAGCCCTATAACCCCTAAACCCTAAACCCTAAAAGAACCCTATAACCCCTAAACCCCAATACCCTACAGCCCTCAACCCTAAACCCTAAACCCTTGAGGCGGAGTGGCTGAGCTTCCAGACCCCCAAGGTCCGAGAGGCCTGGCCGAGGCCAGACTACATGTCCGAGCCGCGGAAGGAAGGACTGGCGACTTCGGCACGGTTTAGGGTTTAGGGTTTAGGGTTTAGGGTTTAAGGTTTAGGAAGGACTGGCGACTTCGGCACTCATTGAGGGCTTTGGGGTTGACCTTTGGCCCAAAGGCCCAAAAGACCTACATTTGTTTCAGGAAGTATCTATAGAAGCCAAAATAAGGAAGAGGCGCTTCGAATTAACCTGTGGCCCAAAAAACCTACATTTTCTTTAAGGAAGCATCTGTAGAAGCAAGACTAATTAAGGAATCCCAAAAGGGAGGTCTTGTCGGCTACAGGCAGGCTCTTAGGCTACAGGATTTGGGGTCTTTGGGTTTAGGGGTTCAGGGTTTAGGGCTTTGGGTTTGGGGTTTAGGGTTTAAGGTTTAGGTTTTAGGGGTTTAGGGTTTCAGGGTCTTTGGTGTGTAGTGCGAGCCAGGAAGGCAAGGGCTGGACTCTATGGCTGCAGTTCCCGAAGGGTCCTAAGTACCTGGTCTCGAAGGGGTTTCTAGAACCCTTAGATCTAATAATGTGGGTTCTAGAAGGTTTTCCCGGGGTCTTAAGTACCTACTCATTCAAGGGTTTCTCTTAGGGTTGTGTACTAGTGTTGAAAGTTTGCTATGGTAGAACGTGGGTTTTTCAAGGCAAGGATGCACTATCATCCCTAACCCTAAACCCTAAGCCCCTTAAACCCTCAACCCTAAATAATTTTGGGTAGTATCCCCCCCATTCAAGTACTTGGGACCCGTTGGGGGGGAAGGCCCCTATTATTCGGTTTCGGGTTCAGGGTTTGCTTAGGATGTTCGCTGTTGTGGACTTCTGGGGCTTTGGGCTACAAGTTGGCAGGCCCTCATGACTACTCATCGTGCTGTCCATGGGCTTGCGCTATGATACGCCCCAAATGCAGGTTGGAATTACCCATAGGCCCCATAGTAGTTCCTTTTTGGGGTTACCTTATAGGATTCTATATATGAGCCCCCAAAAGGAGCTACTTTAGGGCCTATGGGTATTCTGTCCCCAACCTCCGGCTTGATCCCAGGTGCGCGATGGGGGCGAGGGCGCGTACCGTTGGCAGACGTTCGAGCTCGTCACACGGTGGACGAAGGACCTGACAAAACTTTGGAAGTTCAGGGTTTAAGGGTGTATCTAAAATCCCCTAACTCTCAGCCCTAGGCTAAGTTCCGCGAGCCTCTAAGCACACCAAGCAAACTCAGGAATCCTCAAATTCTAATCTGCAAACCCGAAAAACTTGAATCTAGGCTGCCCCCGTAACCTGTAGTCCCCGTTTACGCCTTGTGTTGTCTTGCATTTCCTGAACAAGGCTGAATACTTAAGAGGGAGAAGAAGGGCACCCTGACCATCAAACACCCCCAGTACCAGGGGAGTAAATCGTTTAAGGATTTCGGGTTTAGGGTTTTGGGTTTCGGGTTTCGTTTAGGTTTTGTTTGGACTCGCAAGGCTTGCCTGGCTTTGCCGAGATGTGAGTGTCAAGAAACAGCCAATTTGTCATCTACCCTCCTACAGCCCTACATCCCAAACCCTGGAACAGTGAAGCTAAGTTCAGGGAAGTAAACCAAGCCCTAAACCCTAAACTTCAGGCATGTTTTCAGGGTTTACTCCATGGGAAGGTATTGTCGGAGACTTGGCTTACTATATTTCCACCGTCAGCAGACCTCGAACCACATGCCTCGCCTGGATTCTCCGAGTGCGAGCGCCGAAACCCCAAACACCAATCCTGGAAGCCTCGAAGCCCTAAAAACCCTAAACCCTAAACCCCCCAACAAAAACCTAAACCCTAAACCCTAAACCCCTAAACCCCTAAACCCTAGGCCCTAAACCCTAAAACCCACAGCCACCATTCCTAGCACGAACTCTTGAGCCCGAAGCGATAAACCGTGAACACTAAACGATTGCAGAACCCTCAAGAAATACAGTACATAGCTATATCGCTCTAAGCCCTAGCAGTCCCTAAACCCTGTAACCCATCCTTAAACGCTATAAAGCCTATAACGTAAATTTCAACCCTAGGCCCCATAAGCTAACCTTAGACCCTAAACCCCATAAGAACCACCAAGACAGGACACGAAGATCAAGTACCGACCCCACGCCAAAGCTCCCGGGTCAAAGTCCCACATCCGCTATGAGAAGTACTCCAAGGCCCTGAGCCTTTAGGGACTAGGGTTTAGGGTTTATAGGGTTACGGGTTTCGGCTTAGGTCTTACGGCTAGACGTTAGGGTCTAGGGCGGGTTCAGGGTTTGGGTTAGGGGTTTTGGGCCTAGGGGCTGTTTGCGGGTCTTTAGCCTTGCTTTCATTTAGAGTTTTTATGTTTAGGTGGTCGGGATTCGGGACTTTACGGACTTGGGGCTATGAAGAGTACTGCAGGGCACGGAGCCCTAAACCCTAAACCCTAAACCTCGAGTTTCCAGGGAGCTCAGGATCCAGGCGTTTTCGGATTTGGAGCATTTTTGGAGTTTTCGGATTTTGCGGCTTTTTGTTCAGGGTCCGGCGAGTTTGGGTTTTTCGTGCTTTTTGTGGTTTCTGGCTTGTGGCAAGAGTTTCGAGGATTCGGACTATTGGGACCTATGGCTGAGGCTTCGCCGGGTGTCAGCTTTTTGGTGTGTCCGAGATGTGGGTTTTGGTGTTTGGGTTTAGGGGTTTAGGGGTTTAGGGTTTAGGGTCTTGTGCGAATGTCTATTCTTGTTGGCTCTGTGGCTTAAGTTGACTTACTCGGAGTTATTTGGGTCTATTGGGTTCCTTCAGCTTCATACCATTTTCGTGAAGCCACGTTAAACCTGAAAGAGTGACATTCAATCCCTAGACTAGATCCTCACAGGCTCAAAGTACCCCAAAGCCTGAGGCTTGCAAACAGCACAACCCCGCCCTAAACACCTGATCATGCGTGCTTGTAATGCATGTTGCTGTTACGGATCTCAGGGGCTTATAGCATGGTAGTAGCCTTGTGTTCATCCTTGTCCTGAGGCTTAAGCCCCTAAGGTGTTTATGGCTGATTTGGGTGTCAGATATTGCGCTCAAGAAGCTTTGCTTTTGGATAATTTGTGCGACATTAGGTCATCGCTATTAAGAGAAGAGCTGGATTTGCTTTGCCTCTGTAAGGATCAATAAATCCTGTCCACCGAATATTAAAGGGGGGAGGGGGGGCCCGCCCCAATGGATACTCGGAAAGTGTTTGTATAAATAAAGGGGTTATGTTTATCTCCACTGCCACTTTTGTGGGGACGTGTCCTTGCTCCAATTCTGGCTCCTGCTCCCGCGCGGGCTTTTGCTCCTGCTTCTGCTGCGTCTCTCCTGATCTTGCTGTTGCTCCGCCCTTGCTCCTGCTCTTGCTTTTGCTTTGCTCTAGCTGATGCTCCCGCTTTTGCTCTTGCTCCTGCTCCTGCTGCTCGTACTGTGCTCTAAGGGTATTTGGAGCCTCGAAACCCTCCCAACTAATTCAGAAAAGGTTTGAAAGGGCGGGAGGATTGGGTCTAATGTGTTTTTCAACTTTGTGGGTGTTGAATGAAGGGGGAAGCCATTAGTCTGTGCTTCCATCGCAAGAATAGACATACCAGTCTGTATCTCAAACACAGAGAGCCGCAGCTTAACCCAAGCCCTGAACACCAAACCTTGAATCCTAAACCCAAAACTAAATACCAACCCAAGACCCGAACCTTTTAACCTTTGAACAGTGTGTGCACCGCGGATCGCCAAGATCGGTAGAATCACCTCCAAGACGGTCCTACGAAGAATGTGTATGTCGTGCTCGTATTTGAGAGTTTGGCTCCTCTGGCTTTAGGCGTTGGGTTTTCGGATGTACGTATGTACGGGCATATAAAGAGTATGCTTGTATATATATATATGTATATATATTATATACATATATACATATATAGATGTACACACATAGATGGAATATAGAGTTCTGGAGCCCGATAAGCAAAAAAGAGCTTAACCTGCAGGCAAAGACCATCGGCCAGAGTCTGGCGCTGGGATCCTATCCCATCGACTGGATCTACGACTATGAGCACGGCTTTATCAAGGCACTGCTGTTTGGGCGTAGGGCTTGTGGTTTAGTGCCTAGGAGTTTAGCCTTCAGGATCTACGGGTTTGGAGTTAAAGTAATGGGCTTTTCGCTGGCCTCTGTCGAAGTCCGCGGCTTGTACCAAAGTTGATCCGAAAGGCTCATTTCCTGAGATTCAAAGGACTTGTGACGACCGGAAGCTCATGAAACAAGATTTCAGGCCGTGCTAAGGTTTAGGGTTTAGGGTTTAGGGTTTCGTTATCAGCCGTTCAGAATTTTTGGTTGTTGGACTGGACATTTGGGCATATGCGAGCACAGAATTCTCAGGGACAAAATGTACGTCCAAAGCTCGAGACCCTGACTGGATGGGAGTAGCTGACGACAATTGGTGGCCCTGACATCCTTAATTTTCAGGTCCTCCGAAGCGGGACTCTACTCCCAAGAAACCCTTATTTCACATTTCATGAAGCCCTGATAAACTCTGAAGTCCCTAAACCCGAAACCCCTATTTCACATTTCATGCCTAAGCCCTAAACCCTAAAACCCTATTTCACATTTCATCCCTAAACCCTAAACCCTTTTTTCACATTTCACCCCTAAGCCCTAAACCTCTTAAACCTCTGAAGCCCGAAAATTTCAAACAAAAATCCTCTGATCAGACTCTGCTGGCTAAAGGTGCTGGGCGGCCATATCCGTGAGGAGCCGATTGACCGGAGCAAGGCGCCCGGCATGGAGTTGAAAAGGGTTTAGGGTTTGGGGGTTTAGGGCCTTCCCAGCTGATTGGCAGAGTCTGGGTTCAAAAAAGGGGTTTAGCGGTTTAGGGTTTAGGGGCTTTAGACCATGACTAGAGTCGCTTTGCCATGCAGGTCGAGCACGATTGGCAGCTGACAGATGTCGACAGAGCCATCATGCACTGGTTCATGCGGGAGCTTTGCAGACGGTGTACCTTGGAAGAGCAAAAAAATATCCCGACACCCCTAAACCCTAAACCCTAAAAGGCCTAAACCTCGCCAGGCTTGTCCCAGTTGNNTGTCCCAGTTGTGAGTGCTGAAAAGGCCTAAATCGTGTAATTGATGGGGCTGGATGCGTGAGTGTCGAAGCATCAGTTCTAGAAGCAGGGCGTTAAGTCCTACCCTCCAATTTCTTTCTGGGATCCCCAAGCAGCACAGCTTTTCTTGTTCACAAAGGGTCAAGACGTCGTAATTCTATACCAAAGGCCTATGGGTTTCGGGCCTCTGAGATTCAGGATTAGGAGTTAAACTGCATCACTCCAGGAGTAGGCTTCTTTAAGCAACGGGAGTTGCATCTTGGGCGGGGTATCGGTCTATCGGAGGTCTTGTTTCCTGGGGTATTTACCTTTTTCGGTGGGTCTTGCTGCTTCTGGTGTTTCGGGTTTAGATGGGTAGTTCTCTCAACTAGGGTCCNNNGCACCCTTATAAAAGGACCCCTTAAAAGGACCCGCTGTGAGGCAACCTCGAAAAGTGGCAGCTGCACTTGGAGAAAGGCTGCAACGAGTCCGTGTGGATGAGACTTGGCGCTGGAGACGCCTTTTTTTTCCTGTCCCAAAGGGCTCTATATAGGCTGGGGGAATCCAAAATAAGACAAACAAGAGTCCTTATGAAGGGGATCCTTAATCCTAATTGCCTTCCCTCCACCTCTTGAAGCCCTCTCTGCTTTGCTTGTGCGCTCTCTTCCTTGTCGCCTATCGCGCCCTTCGCGACGAGTCTTTCCTAAACCCTAAACCCTGAAACGTGGTCCTCCTGTGTTGCGTGCTGCCCCTTGTCGGCTGCCGTGCCCTTCGGAGAGAAACCATTCTGCGCGAGGCACTGCCAGATTCCGAAGGTCGGACGGTTTTGGGTTTAGGGTTTTGGGTTTTGGGTTTTGGGTTTCGGGTTTTGGGTTTAGGGTTCAGGGTTTTGGGTTTAGGGTTTAGGGTGGCATGCTCGCTAGATGATTTGTAGTTTTCATGTGCATCTCCCGACAGAGACGTTGTTTTGGCGTCCATTTTACTCGTAGGCCGTTTGCTGGTTCGCCTCCGCGTGCACCCCTCGTTGAGAGCACATGTGACCATTTGCGATCATCCAAAACTGCAAAGTTTCAGAGACCCGATCCCGTCATCAAACCTGTTCAAGACCCGTGCGAAAGCGCCCATCCATTTCTGGAAAGTCCGAATCCCAGACGCCTTGAAGGGCCCAACAGAACCCTTGAGCCTTCTTTGCCCCATATGATGGTAGACAATCTTTTTGTGGTTCTATTCTTAAGGTCTTGAGGCTGTATTGAACCCTACAAGATCCTCAATAAAAGCTCTTGTCAAGAAACCCCTTCTAGAATTATAGAACTGTCAGATCCTTGTGCAGGTCTGGGTCAAACTCAAAAACCCTACTCGACCTAGCTGGCGACAGATCTCAAGCAGACCAAAGAAGGATCTCAAGAAGCAAGCAACAGTCTACCCCAACAACCCTCCCAAAACCCTAGAGCCCCAAACCCTACAAACACTAGAACCCCAAACCCTAGAAGCCTCAGAACCCTAAACTCTAAACCACATGCCTCGCCTGGAGCGTCCCAGCTCGATCTCCGAAACCCTACAAACTCTAACCCCCCCAGGTGCATTGCTATATAGGGTACTAGAGCCCCTAGGGCCCTATATAGTAGGTACCTGGGGGGTTGGGGAAAGCCCAGGAGGGCCCACCGTTTGGTTGCCAACCGCACGGCGGGCGAGATCATGGCCCAGGCGGTCTCCCGGAACGGCTTAGGGGTTAGGGCGGGTTAAGGATTTAATTTAGGGGTTTAGCTTAGGGTCCAAGGGGTTTAAGGGTTCAGGGCTTAAGGTGGAGGCTAAACCCTGGTAGCAAGAGTGCCAGGGGGGGGGGGGGGGGGGGTGGGGGGGTGGGNNTTGAGAAGTTGTGGTTTGTCAGGTTACTAGCTTTTTGCAGGTGTTGAGACCTTGTGGTTTATCAGGTTACTAGCTTTTTGCAGGTGTTGAGAAGTTGTGGTTTGTCAGGTTACAAGCTTTTTTGCAGGTGGTCTTGATGGCTCATGTTTTGCGGTGTTGAGGGATTTGCTCGATTTGGATTGAGGGTTGGATCTCGTGTAGTAAGCTACTGCACGAAGACAAGGCTTAAACAAGATAGTTGAATCAGGAGCAGCCGTCTCCAGTTTTGACAGCGGATGACAAAGGGCTTCAAGCTATGCTGCCTTTGGCTTCTACCAAGTCCTATCTTCAATGTTTCGGCTAAGCCTGAGTGCACGAAGGGTTGACAGTTTCATGGGCTCTAGTTCAGGGACTTGCGGAATTCGTCATATGGGGGTTTCAGAAAATAGGGGACCCTAATATAGTACCCTACATAGTAGGATCCTTATTATAAGGACCCCAAAATAAGGTACCCCTTGTTTTCAGAAACTCCCATATCCTTCCGATTATAACCTGCGCCCCTGAGGCCCTGTAGCCCTCAAGCCTGATCCCTACAGTAAGCCCTAATGCCCTAACCCTTCACAAGAGCCTGAACTCACTTCCGAATGATCACCCCTAAGCCCTAAAGGCGGTAGATCCTGCAGAGAGGGCGTGAGGGCTTGGCAAGGGGCTTCGGTTCGTAATCTGTGCCTGTTAAACGGTAATCCGTCTCCCCTTCAGACGCATGCCTAGTGGATTCCATGGTCCAGAGCTCGATCCAATCCACAAGCATTTCCTTGGACTCCCTGGTTCTTCGAGCGTTCGTGTTTAGAATGAGTCTAGGGTGTATGTTTGAAGTGTAGGGTTAGCATGGAAAACTCCAAGACACTAGTTCATGTTTCTGGTCCTTGCAGACTAGGTGTGTTTTTCGAGCCTTGGTAATATAAACATACAAGAAGACTTTTCAAGGGTTCTATAAGGAATTCGGTAAGGGGGTTCTGCTTAGGTCCCCACACCGAAAGCATCATGCTATATAGTTTCACAGCGAGAAAAAGGGACGCATGACCATTGATTCCCGACCTCTTGATACCCTCGACCACAAAACACCCCTTTCCCGGCCTTTCTTTCCCCTCAAATCCTAACCGCTTTTTAAAGGTTTCAAGGCTTCTGTAAGGAATTCGGTAAGGGGGTTCTGCTTAGGTCTCCACACCGAAACCGTATAAATCCCAAGACGAGAAGGCGCCGAATGCACTCCATGAGCCCTAAACTTAGGGTTTAGGTTTTAGGGTTTAGGGTTTAGGGTTTAGGAACTCTCTGAGATTGGGCCTAAAACAACAGCCGAGGTAAACCCCGGAACCTTTCAATTCTAGAGCCTATAGACCCTTACACCCTCGACCCTCCTTCACCCTACACTAATCCCTCTCGGCATCGGTTTTATCTACCCGGCAGTCTAGCACGTGTGGAGTGGGGATTTTGGCGATTTTGGAGCCTCAGGGTTTGCAGAAGTGGGTGGTTTGGGACTTAGCAGGTCGGGTATCAAAAAGTTTATGGGAGGCCCTAAACCCTAAACCCTTGCGCAACCAAGGAGAAGAAGAAGCGCGCAGTCAGCAGCGATGACGTGAACAGGATGCTCAGCAGACACCCGCGATTCTTCTGCTTGGTGTTTAGGGGTTTAGGGGTTTAGGGTTTAGGGTTTAGGGTCGATTCTTCTGCTTGGTGTTTAGGTTTGGCGGTCCATGTAATTCCCCCTCCCAAGCTACTAACCGGTCGTAACCATGATTTCTGCAAGACCCAAAGCCCAAAGAAGGGCAGTAGGTGCCTAAGAGAGCTGGCAAGTAAACTCTTTTTGCCCTAATTACTTCAGAAGCCCCGAACCCTGAGCCCCACCTCTCAACCGAACCCTAAACAGCAGGATTCTCAAGTGCTGGGCATTCGCCAAGAACCCGTTCAGGGTCAACGTCATGCCACAGGGCCAGCAGCGGCTTAGCGCAAGAGGGGGGTTCTTTTGTTCGCGGCTTTTTCGTGTCAGGGTTTTGTGTATTTTTGGGTGTACCTGGACTTTAGCGGATTTTGTTTAAGGGCTTTGGTGTTTTGGGTTTTAGGGCTCCAGGTTTTGAGCGGGATGTTCTTATAGGGTATACTAAGCAGCTCATGGAACGTAGCAAGCACTTTAACATGTACTCCATGGTACACCGCCCCCCAGTTAGGGTGCATTATAACCGCGACATGTCACCGAGCTGCTAAGCTTCATGGTCGCTTACGAAGCCTTTCAAGATTTTTTGTGGCACGGAATTGAGGGGGAGGAGATCAGAGTGGGATTCCCCCGAGAGTTCAATCTGGCGGGGGGTTCTTCATTAGGAGTGCGGTAGCCAGGGTCCTGCTGAAATTCGCGCATACCTTACTTGAAGATTGAGGATCCCCTGCTAGGAAGCCCCTGAATCAGAACAGTGCTCCCTGATCGGACCATAATTAGTAGCCATGCCATTACACACGCACCCAGCCATATGTTGCGAGCTCTGAAAAACGACTGTCAACAAGATCGAACAAGCGGATCCTCAAGGACACGCATGGCTCAGATGCGTGTTTGCATACAGCACCACACGTTTACATTGACTTACGTGATAGGCTCACACAGCTAGCTGCATAGGCACTTTCATGCATCCTGTCTCTGCTCCCTGATGTATGGATCCGTCTGTGGTTTTGTTTGTAGCGCTTGGCCTGCTCTCTAGATAGACAGATGGATAGATTGATGGACAGGTAGATAGACAGATAGATAAGTATCAGTTGGGCAGAACGGTAGATATATAGCCATGTGCATACATGTGTGCATAAGTTTGAACGCACTCGCACCTACATTTGTCGTATCTCCGGTCTCAGAGCAGCGCATTCATGTTTGCCACCTTGTTTACCTGTGACATTGCTGCAGCTGTAGCTTCTCGAAAGTACTGTGTTCGCAACACAAATGGTCCCCTAAACCCTAGGGTTTAGGGTTTAGTGCCCTTAGAAGGCATCCGCCAACTCAGGTGGGTGAAGAGCGACACCCTGGGCTTGCTGAGGGATCGCGGTGGCAAGCTGATCGTCACACGCCCGGCCAGGGAATACCCAAACGTGGCAAAGATCCTTGCTACAAGTTACAAGCATTTTAAGGTTTACCGTTCAGGGGGCATGGTAGCGTGGTGGGAGACTTCTGTTTTGTTTCCGTGTATGGCACTACCGGAGCCTGTCTTTCATTTGCTCGATGTACCCTGTAGTTATACCGAAAACCTGTTCTAGTTCTGAACCCCCCGGTAAACCGTAATGTCCGCAAGCACTTACTGCAGTGGAGAAGCCAGGATCATCGCCCGCTGGCTGCGCGGCAAGCTTCCCAAAGAGGCGAAGCACTTCAAATTCACGAGCCTGAAACTCTGCATGTTGCATTCAGAGCCATTTGTTATGTTTGTTATCTAGGTTCCTGAGTTTTATTGTACTGTTCCCTTATTAGAGCTGAATAACAGGAAAAGGGTACCCTTATTATTAAGGGGTCACTCAACTCAGGAACCTAGTTATCGTCTCAACCCACATATCTATCAACCATACCAAATGTTTTTGGGTTGAAAGTGCCGGGCTTGTGGGAATCTTGACCGTCCCGAACAATCGTTTTCTGTGTCCTTTCATGGTGTCCTATGTTCCTCCTGGAAGTAAGGGGCATGATACCCCCAAACCCTAAAGCCTAGTTCCCCGGCATGAAACCCTAAATGATAAACCCTATAGTCATAAGGAACTTGAACTGCAACTACGCGGCGCGGCGGCACCGCGATGGAAACAATTTCGGGCCTTCGATGATCAAGGCGACACCTACACGGCAAAACTGGAGTGTACCTGTAGTCTCCATTGTAGTTCCTTTTGGGGGATACCTTATAAAAGCCTTAATATATAATTGGTTAAACAAAAAAAAGGAACTACAATGGAGACTATAGGTAAGGTTTAGGGATTTGGGAGTCAGGGTTTCGGGTCCAGGATGAGTTTAACTGAGCATTAAGGCTTTTGAGCCGCTCATTTTTTCTTGGAGTTCGGGTTTGTCGTGTTCATTACATAGCCCTATCCATGTGTGAAGTCGCACAATTATCCGTTTGCGACAAAGCCGGGTGTCGTGCGCAACATACTGAGGAGTGTCTTCATTGAGAATGTTCGTGCTGGTCATATAGGGATAGCGCCGACATAGAGGAGGAAACCTCGGTTTGTTTCTGCTGATGCCGTTGCTATCTTCACTTGTTGGTGTTACAGTGCGCGGTTGTTTGGTGTGGCTGTGGAGGTGTTATCGGTGGTTGCGGTTGTGCAGCTGTAGGGGTGCTGGTGCTAGTTCATGTGGCGGTAGTGTAGCTGTTGTTGCTGGTGGGTTGATGTGGGTTTAAGTTAAGTGTGTGGTTCTGTTGGCGGCCTTGATGCTTCCCCCATCTTCGTAGTATGAACACTCGAACGCGTCGGCCTAGTCTCTATAGACGAGCTGGGGGCCTTGAACCTAGCTTTCTTGTTCGCGGCTCAACCATTTTCCTAGTTTTTATAGGTCCTCATCTGGGGACCACACACCCTCAAGCCCTAAACCGCCCTGAACTTTAAGCCATGAAGCCCGTAGCCGCCCCAAAACCATGACACCCCTAAAAGCATGAGACCCAAAGCCCTGAACCCCCTATTGACCCCTTGAAGGGGGGGTTTAGGGTTTAGGGTTTAGGAGCCCTTGAAGGAACCCCGAAGGGAGAAAACGTCGCAGGCGTTTGGCGAGTTCACGGGCGGAGCGCTGTCGGTGTGGCCGGAGGACAACAAAACAACGCATCTGAAGGCACTTCCCAACGACAAGAAGGCAAGGCATTCTAAAATGGGGGTTTAGGGTTTCGGGTTAGGGCGTCATGCTCAAGAGTATGGCTATGGGGTTCGAGGGTTTCTCGAAATTAAGCTAGGGATCTATAGGGTCCTTAGAACGAATGCTGCTTGTTTGGGTTCGTACATACGGTGTTCTGACATATCCATACACTTCAGGGAAGCTCAGATTATCCGGTGTAGAGTTTAACATCTGGGGTTCAGGATTTCCTTGGGTGTTGTTGCGAAATCCCATTTAGGGCTTAGGGTCTGTAGGGTTTTGTACAGGATTTCAGGGTTATTTCACCTTCTGGGTCTAAGGACTATAGGTCTGGGGATACAACATAGCGAAGACGGTTTAGTCTTTGGATTCAGGGGTTTAGGGTTTAGGGTTTAGACTCCCTAAACCCTAAACCCTAAACCCTAAACCTTAAACCCTAAACCCTAAACCGACTTTGCCAACCTTCGGGTTGACATGGCCTGGCATTGTTGAAGGGTTGACCTTTCGCGGCCAGGGAACCGGCAGGCATAGCATATCGCAAGGCGAGCTAGCGGTAGCGGTTGTTACTTGATGTATGATAGGTCCTGTGCATTATCGGACTTAGCATGTCCATATAGATGGTGTAAGTGTGTGTATGTATATGGAGTGGCGAGAGGTGCAGGGGGGAGAGCGAGAGAGCGAGAGAGAATGATAGTGTGTATATTAGTAGCGGAACAGCGTTTCTATTTCCGTTTTTGTATAGGCTGTGGTTTTTAGGGGTATATATATATATATGTTTCATACACACATACACTTCCATCCATCTATCCATCCATCCATACATCCACCCTGCCATTCATGCATGCATGTATACATACTTACGTGCGTACATACTTAAGTACATATACATGCAGTGCCTGCGTTCATTCCTTCATTCATTAGTTTTTTCATTGATTAGTTCGTTCGTTCACTCGTTCGTTGTTTCGTTCTTTTGTTCGGTTTGTTCCTTCTTCCCTTCGATCACAATTTATCTAGTTCTTTGATTCGTTCATTCCTTTATTCGTTCGTTCCATCATCCGATCGATCAATTGTTCCTTCCTGCCTTCCTTCCTTCCTTCGATCCTTCCTTCATTATTTCATTATGTTTCGTTATTTCTGTGTTTGATGATGTCCTTCCTTCCATCCTTTCTTCCTTCCTTCCTTCCTTCCTTCAGTCATTCATTCCTTCATCAATTCATTCAGTTACTCTCTCGCTCGCTCACTCACTCACTCCTTCATTCATGCACTCACTCACTCACTCGTTCATTCATTAGTTCATTGATTCATGCGTTGCCTCGTTCGTGGATTGGTTCCTTCACGTGTTATGTCACGCCCTTCTTTCCTTCCTCCCATCGGTCATTCATTCATTCATTCATTCGTTCGTTCGATCATTCACTCATTCACTCATTTACTCATTCACCCATTCACTCATTCACTCATTCACTCATGCATTCATGCATTCATTCATTCATTCATTAATTATTTGATTCATTCCTTCATGCATTCATTCATTGCTTCATTCATTGTTTCACTCATTCACGCATTCATCCATTCATTCACTCACTCATTCGTTCATTCATTCATTCATTCATTCATTCACGCATTCATTGGTTCATTCATTCATTCATGCATTCATTCACTCATTCATTCGTTCGTTCGTTCAGCCACTCACTCACTCATTAAGTCATTCATCCATTATCTATGTCTTTCCTTCATTCATTCGTTCATTCATGCATGCATTCATCCATTCACTCATTCACTCATGCACGCATTCGTTCATTCATGCAGTCATTTACTCATTGATTCGTTCATTCTTTCTTTCATTCATTCACGCAGTCATTCGCTCGTTCGTTCGTTCACTCGCTCACTCACTCACTCACTCACTCACTCACTCACCCACTCACTCATTAATATATTATGCATTCTTTATTTCTTTCGTTCATTCAATCGTTCATTCATTCATCCATTCATTCGTGTATTCATCCGTGCATGCATTCAATCACTCATGCTTTCATCCATGCATTCATCCGTTCATGCATTCATTCATTCGATCATTCTACCATTCATTCATTCCTTCGATCATTCTTTCAATCATTCTATCATTCATTCATTCATGCGTTCATTCATCCATTCATTCATTCACAATTACATGCATACTTGCATGCGCACAGAGAGAGATGTACATATACACATTTATATATGTATGCACGTGCAACACAGACTTACTAGCTATCTATCTGTCTACCTGCCTCTCTGTCTATCTATCTATCTGTCTGTCTGTCTGTCTGTCTGTATACCTATCTATATACACATCCATACATATGCACACACAGAGACCTGCGCACAAACGCACACGCACACACAGACACACGAACAAACAAACCAACCAACCAACAAACAAACAAACAAACAAACACGCAAACACACACACACACACACGCACGCACAGACACAAAGACACGCGCACACACACACACACTTACACTTACACTTACACTTACACTTACACTTACTTATACATGATGCCGGTTCGGCCGTCCACCCTGTCCCTCCACAGAATGTTTGGTGGGCTGCTCCCCTACCGCCAGCTCATTGGGTCAGTGCGTGGTGTGGTTTCGTTCGGGGTTTGGGCCGCTTGGGGTGTCTCCCATGTCTTCTGTCCACCGTCCTGGTGACGAGCCTGACTTTATTGGCCTCGTGCCGGGGCCACAAGCCCTAAATCCTAAACGATTCCTTGCCTTCAGGTCACGTTGGACATCTCCAAGAACCTGGCGCTGTTTAACGGGAACACAGCCCATGAGGCCGGCAGGCGTAGGGGCTTTTGGGGTGTCCTAAAAAACCAATATTTAGGTACTTAGGTTTCGGATAGTAGTCATGCGGGTCACGATTCGGCGAGGTATTCGATGTTAGGTGCTTGGACCAATGTTGTTCCTTGTTTCACGCGTTTACGGCTTGAGTTTTGGATTTGGTCTTTGGCAGGTTTGGTTCTTGGATTTTGGTTTGGTTCGAGGGTTTGGGTTTTGGGTTTGGGGTTTACAATGTAAGGTTCCGGTTCTTGTCCAAGCATGGTTTAGGGCTTAGAGTCTTAGAGTGTATCGAGTTCCGGTTTCAGAAGTTACAGAGTACTTGGCCTTCAGGCGCTTGGGCGTTTGGGGTTTGCTTAACGGTTTGAGGTGCGAAAATCGGGGTCAGTGTTCAATGTTTAGGGCTTAAAGGATTACATAGAGTGCTAGACCCTAAACCCTAATATCGAGTTCCGGGCTCAGAAGTTATTGAGCTTCCGGGGCTGCAGGGGCTTGGGCGTTTTGCGCTTGGGGTTTGGTTGCCCTAAAGCTCAAAACGGCCCGCGCAAAACCCGAGATACTATATTTCTTATCAGAAGACCCTGGCGCACCACTACCCTTCATAGCAACATGATCAAGTCTTGAACCCTAACCCTAACCCCCAGGGGTACCTACTATATAGGGCCCTATATAGGGGCTCCAGTGACCTATATAGTAGGTACCTGGGGGTTTAGGGTAAGACATGAACAAGCTAAGCGCTTGCTCGAAAAGTCAAACCCTAGAGCCCTACAGTTGGTGGTGGATCTTATCTTCTCAACACCGCAGAGATGCGCAAGAAGCCGATGTAGTGTAGTACACAGAACTCAGGGGCTGGGGTCTTAGGGTCAGACCTAAACCGCAAGGTGGAGGACTTCGAAGGCAACCGCTTCTCGATCGTGTACTTCACGGCAGGCTGCCATCCGAAGATGCCGGATGATGTGCGCAAGCAGTTGAATTTTGGACTCCACCAGTAGGGTTGAGGGTGGTGTTGTGTGTGTGTGTGTGTGTGGATTTTCTCTTGTGGGGGATCTGCCTTCAGGTGCTTCTGGTGAAGTTTTTTGAGGTTTTTCGGCGCTCGGAAATTCTAGAGCCAGGGCCAGATCAGGGTTTCAGGTTGTCGGGCGTTCTAGAGGTTAGTGTTGTACATAGGTAAGCCCTGCTATATAGAAGAGACTTTAGACTCGTGATGACTGAGGACATGTTCAGGGCTCTTAAGACCAAATGTTTGCGTGATGAGCAGCTCGTGGAGTTATACTCTAGTAATTAAGTATTTCCCTGCATTTTTGTAAAGCTATCTGAGGTTCTTCATGTATACCTACATTATATGTGTCATTGACTTACTTACCATTGTATGTACAGGCACTGCGTGTTGGCTAAACTTGTGGTGTAGAAGCGTCAGTAATTGCCAATTCTGTTTGTCAGGACTCCCAATGCCAATTATTGTGTTTAAGCAATGTACTCCAGGACTCTAGTCTAATTATGGTAGCTCCAACAGTACCCGGAACACCAACGCCTCCAGGCATGTCCTGTTGTGCACCCGCAGGAACGGCATGTTGACGATGATTTCAGCTCTAAGAGCTTTGGGTTTTCGTTGCATTCTTGTTGGCGCGTAGACCCTGAACTCAAAGATTCGACGTTGCGCCATCAGAATGCGGTCGAACGAGTATATATGCAACTTCCCGAGAGCCAGTGGGACAGTTCGTGTGGCGGGCGAGTTTCTCATGGTAATCCAGGAAAACACCACGTATAGGCGCAGCTTTGGGTGTTCCAGGCATTTGTTCCGAAACGATCTGTATTGGAGTCTCTGCAACTACTAAGCTTTTGTGCTGGAGATCCGCGTTGTAGGTAAGTAAGTAAGTAGGTAGGTAGGTATACATAACTAAGTAGATTATAAAGAAAGCAAATGCACACGTGCACATATATATATAGTATAGATACATGTGTGTATACCTATATCTATATATATATATATATATATCTATATATATTTATATATTAGAGAGAGAGAGAGACAGAACTACAGCAGAGTGTACCTGTAGAGCTCATTGTTGCACAACGACGATGCCAAGGGCGCAGCTCGACTTCATGCTGCCCAAGAAAGATGAAAACCGCTACTCGGTCCTTCGTGCGCCGACAGGATACTTGGATCGAAGTCTGATAGAATTTAGCTTTTTGGTTCAACTATTTTGTGTCGATTATGGAGGCTGTTTTTAAGAGGGGGCTCGGAAGTCAGCCCAGGATATTTCACCAAGACCAAGGGGAAGGGCCCTTCGCTGAGAAGCTGGCGTGTGAAGTGAGTCAGTGCGAACCGTGTTCGCGTTACCACCACGCATTCTCTGCAAGTGGTGCTTCTGCTGCTGCCGCCGCTGCTGCTGCTGCTGCTGCTGCTGCTGCTGCTGCTGCTGCTGCCACTGTTGATGTTGCTGCCGCTGCTACTGCTCCTGACTGCTGCGGCTGCTGCTGCTCCTACTACTACTACTACTACTACTACTACTACCCTGCTACTACTACTACTACTACTACTGCTACTACTACTACTACTACTACTACTACTACTGCTGCTACTGCTACTGCTACTGCTACTGCCACTGCTACTGCCACTGCTACTACTGCTACTGCTGCTACTGCTACTACTACTACTACTACTACTCCTACTGCTACTAAGTGCTACCACTACAAATAAACACTTGCACACATGTGGAACCACATCTTTCCTCCAGATGAAATTATAGGCCAGCATTGAAGGCACGACCATCCTGCCTGGCAGTCCCTTGTTACCATCGGCAGTATTTCACCCACTGTTGGCTAGCATGTTTGTGTTGTTATGGACATGTTCTCAGTTGAAGACACTTAATACTTCGAGCTGTGTTTGCTTAGTAATTTGAGTGCACAAGCTATTCTGCTCAACACAAGCCCTGGCTCATTTTGAAGCGCCACCTCAGTTGCTAATGGTCAGTAGGGTTAGTGTGTTGTTCTTGGCCGCCTACTTCCTGCTTGCCTTCGTCCATGAGCCTGCCAAGCTGCAATAGCGCAAAGACGCAGCAGATAAATAGCAATCTAAGCTGAAGTGGCATCAAGACTGTGCGAAAGGCGTTATTACCCTTGTCGATCACAACTCTGTTTCAATGGTGTCTGTTTGCGAAGGCACTTCACCCAAAATCGCAGTGTTTGGCGGGGTGCTGGCTGGCTGCAGGCTTAGGAGCACGCGTGGGCTGCTAGTGCTCGGATTTTGCCGGCCTTATTGACACACCGACACCGACTGAAAACGTGCAGGCTTGCAGGGATGACCCTGAGACCCTGAGACTCCGAAGCCTAGAAGCACCCCTGCTATCATAGGGGCCTTCATGATTGGACCATGGTTTCGAGGCATTCCATCGTATTTCATTCCGGCTCCTATTTCAGATCCATAGGCTTTACCTGCCTCCAACCCATGTAGAGGTGCGTTCGACATCCATTTGTAAGAAGCTCTTCTGCAGTCTTTTGTGTACCCCTGAGAAGTAAAAGCCAAAAAACCTAAACGCCTCTACACCCAGCAGATCGAACCCCAGTGAAAGTCTAATCTAGAAGCTCGAATAGGTACAAAAAACTTCTTCTAAGTGTACCGTGACACATATCTCAAAACCCTATTCCGATGACTAGGCCCCTAGATCCTAGAACTGTAGAAACCTTTGTAGAACCCTTTTTCTATTGGAACCCTTGCACGAAACCAGTTCGAATGATTAAATGATTCAGGCGCCTATATTAACTTGGAATCCCGGGCTTGGCCTCGAGATCGGGAATCCATTGGACTGAGCTACTGCTGAGTGTTTGTTAGGCCTCCGTGGGAGCATGAACACAGAAACTCGAGCCTAATGGCAACACCACCACCAGTCATAGCTCCTTGCATCTCTCCTTCGTTAGCCCTAAACTTCTCGTCAACCCTGAAACCGAAACCCCGAAGGGGCGATGCTGACAAGTCATTCTAAGACGGGCTCAAGCAAGGCTTCGCGCCTTTAGGGCTTGCCCTGGGAGGGGAATTCTAAACCATGAGCCCCTAAACAATGAGCCCTTCAATCCTAAACCCTAACCCCTAAACCCCTAAACCCTAAACCGAAGAGAAGCCCTGTGGCGCTGGAGTCGACCAGGAGATCCTACCAGGTTGGATTTTAGGGGGGTTTAGGATTTAGGGTTCTTAAAAAGGTCTGGGCCCTGTGTTGTGGGTTCCTTAGAATGACTCCTAGCCATCAGGGTTCTATATCGCATGAGCTTCCGTGCCTTCTGAACTTCCGATATATCCCTTAGCCACCTTCAGCATCTTCTTGGCTCGAGCCAGTAGCCTCTAGTTTGCTGTCCAAACCCTTGCCTTGCCGACGCTAGATTCATGTCCCTCTCCGCCGCGGCCCGACTCGCATTCGCAACTCTGCTTGTGTCATGCAGCGCCATCGCCACGAGCAGGATGAGTCGGGAAGTGTCGCCATTAGCGAGCCCGACTCCACTGGGATGCTGACGAAGGAGGAGCACTACCCCACGGGGAACGTGACTCTGCAGTACTCCAAGACCTTCCGCCACCAAGACAACATCAGACTCGTGTCGACAGTCATCTACGCCTGTTGGGCGGGTGTCATGAAAGATGAACTCGTCGAGTGCATCCGGAAGCAATATCAGGAGAAACTCGGTGCTGAGTTCCACATGATCATCTCTGAAGGTGATGTCGGTCAGGTCGTTGGCCACTCGAAAGGCTTTGCCCTTGGTTTGGCCATTGGATACTATAAGAATCACTCCTTCCTCATGTGGGAAGACTCGGCCTGATCTCTGGGTGTCCGTGGCTGCAGGCACACTTCGTAAGCGAGTGCTCGGGAAAGAAAACCGGGCCGTTTCGCATGCCACGAGAGGCTTGTAAGACAATACGCTTCTCATCGTTAAAGGCTACATTTGCGACGAACTGTTGTTTCTGTAGTGCTTTCCAGCTTACTTCTCGCTTGACCACCATTTTCATGCAGCCGTCAGCCCAGCACGCCTCCCGACATTCATCTAGTCTTGTTCGATCGCGCTGTTGTCTAAACCTATGCGTCTACATAGCTGAGGCACCCTCAATGCTTAAAAGAGAAGCACCAAAATGACATGGTCCCTTCAGCAGGACCCTATCAGCGGCCATAACATCACCACTACAGAGAAGCTCCTACTAGTACGCCCCTCCCCAGAAGACCATACTTCCTCAATTCTTAGACCCCGATATAAGCCTCCAACCAAAACGGTGGCCCCAAACCTGAGCCTCAAGTCAATCACCTATACTTCAATATTATTCCTTTGTGTTCCTCAGTATAAACATAGTATACTTCACCCAACAACACTATTCTAACTGCTAAGGCCCCTATGTTAGAGGAGGCGTGCTGTTTCAGACCCCCAAGCCCACACAACAACGAGGCACAAGCGAAGTCTGGTAACGCCCGAAGAAGTGAAACGCGGCATAGTTTGCACCTAAAAATTCTAGAACATCTACCGACACCGACTGTGTGAGTCGGGATGGCATGCATTTTTGGGTGTGAAAGCCTACACTCTCGGCCTTCCTCAATGTACAGCTCCAGGCTGGGCACCCATGCACGTCGTGAACCTAAATCTCAAATCGAAACCTTGACTGCTTAGCCTTGAATCCCAAAAGCTAAGCCCCGATCCCATCTCTACAAAGGAAAGCCCAAATCCTACAGCCTTCTCGCTAAACTGCAAACATCCCAAGCTAAAAGCCATACCGGATGAGACCCGCAATGCCACACCCTGCAGGAAAGGAAGTCACAATACACCCGAAACATTAAACGTCTAAAGAGTGTCACGAATTAGCACTTGTCAGTAAGCCAGAGTCAGCAAGGGCGCGAGGCACTGCCAAAGTGAGCTTTAAGGATATGGCCGGGGCCCCAAACTTCCTCATGAGATTCGGACAGGCATCGTTATTGAGAGTTCAGGGATAGGGGTTTGGGAGTTGGGAGCCCTAAACCCTAAACCCTAAACCCTAAACCCTAAACCCTAAACCCTAAACCCTGCCCTAAACCGAGTGTAGGATTGCAGGCGCCCCTGTTGGTCCTCACAGAGTGCCCCGGGGCTCTTGGGGCCCAGGTGTAGCAAAGCTCCTCCTGCAGAGACATGCCCTAACTCATCCTTGCGGGTAGGGTTTAGGGTTTAGGGTTTAGGGTTTAGGGTTTAGGGCGGGCCAGCCCGCTCATCTTGTGTTTGTTGGGTTTCGGTGTTTGGCTTTGTGGGCTTTATTTTGAGGTCTCAGTATTAAGCTGGCCCTTATAGACTTATAGTACCCATAATTTAGGGTTTAGGGTCTAGGGTAACATAAGTTCACTAGAACCTATCATACCCCCAAGCGCAGGTTTCAACTGAATCAGGCCCCTACTTAAAGTTTAGGACCGCTTAGGGTTTCGGGAAAGGTATAAGAGTCTTGGGTCTTGGTTTTCGAGATTGGGAGCCTCTTTAGGGCTTAGAGTGTAGGGTTTAGGGGTTTGCGGTTTAGGGGTTTAGGGTTTTAGGGTTTAGGGTCTTGGATTACTGTAGGGGGAGTTGCAGGTTGCTGGGGACTTGAGCTTCATGTACGTGGGGCTTAGGGGTTTAGGGCGTAGGGGATACTTCAGGCCGCAAACACCCTCAAGTCTCATGCAGGGCGTCCGGCACATAGCTGTTGTTGATACCGCAACTGGCTTTCGGTGGCTCATTCTCGGTTGGGACCTTCGCAGGGTGTCAGGGAACCTCTCGCACAGGGCTGATCGGGCCTTGCCGGGATCCCAATTCATTTGGGGTCTGCATTCGCACCCCCTTTTTTCCGGAAGCTTCCGGTAACTTATCCTGCAACTTCAACCGGTCCATCTTGCATCTGTCGGTTGGACAGTGAGCTGTACTTTGAGGATGAGGGGTACTGAGGAATTAAGGGTACGGTTGCAGGCAAGTGGACCCTAAACCCCGTAACGTAAGTGACAGAAATTCAAGTAGGGAGCCCCGAGAACCTAAACCCCAGAATCTCAGAAGCCTTAATACCACAATGCTAAAAACACCGGAATCTTCCGGTCCCCAACACATTATAAATCCCAAACCCTGATACACAAGCCACGAGAATCGTATAGCAGCCAAGTTCGTTTTATGGCTCCCTTTAGAAGTAAGGCCCATCATTTTTTGAAATCGACTCTTGTTGATCTTCTGGCTCAAGGGGACTGACATCCTTCGGTTCCTGACCTTCCATACATCTTGGTACCTACGTAGATTTTTGGGGGGGGCCGGCCCGCGCAATGTCGCGAGGGCCTTTCGTTTGCGGCTGCTTGGAAGCAAACGCGCACAAACAAACACACACACACACACAAACACACAGGCACATGCACACGCACACACACACACACACACCCACGCACGGACACGCACACGCACATGCACACGCACACACACGCACACACACACACACAGAGAGACACAGACACGCACACACACACACACATACATACATACGCATACACACACGCACACACACACACGCACACACACACACACACACACACACACACGCACACACATGTGTCCAACCATATCTATATATCTGTATCTTTTCTATACATACCTATACAGGTGCATACATATAATGTAGAGGTTTGGGTTTCTATATATGCTTGTATGAATTATATACTAATTGGTTCGTCTATTTGTCTTAGACATATTGTGTTTGGAGAGCACTCAGGCAGTGTGAGTATCCCACGCTTAGACATTCGTGACCATTTTCTACCGCATGGCATCAAAAGCTCTGAAATTGGTATGTCGTTGGCAATGTGCTACAGCAAAACATCACCTCTCTCTCCCCTCTCAAAAACGCTATTGATTGAAGCACAGGTTTAGGCCTCGAACGTTGCCTGCTGTGCTCTTTCTGCTCCCTAGCCTTGCTGGTACCAAAGTCAAGCTGTTGTCGACATACCCGTTTGGGGAGTGCCAGTAAGGCACCAAACACATGACCCTCGGTTGGCACGCAGAGGTCCATACCAACCGCATATTCTCCACCTGCACCTGTTGTCCGACAAATCGAATTTAATGGCAAGCATCTCGAAGCCATCACTCACCACCCGCTGCTGCGATGCTGGACCACATCCAACTCGTTTACTTCTTACCATGTCTGGTGTCATCCAGTTTCGCAAGAAATTTTGTCGCTCCAGACGAATACCACCACATCCGAGATACCACGCAGAGCCCAGAAGTCAGAAGCGGATGTGGACACCTAAACCCTCATCCCCTTCATCCCAAACCTAGAAGCCCCGGAACCCCAAACCCCTGAAACCTACAGTTTGGGAACCGAAAAGAGCCCCTATACCCTTGAACCCTACACCCCAAACCCTAAACCCCGCACTCTAAAGTCTGAACCCTAAACCCTAAACCTAAACCCCTAAACCCTAAACCCTAAACCCCTAAACCCTAAACCCCCAAACCCTGAACCACGCGCTCTCAAGTCTGAGCCCGAAAAGACCCGAGGAGCACTTTTGCTCACATGCCTAAGCCCTGCCACCGGGGAGCAAGACCCGCTGAGCTCCTGTGAGATGTTGCAGCCTGGTTCAAGCTTTTGGGGTTTAGGGTTTAGGGGCTTTGGGATTTTTGGAGGGTTTAGGGTTTAGGGGGTTAGGGTTCAGGGTTTAGGGTTTTGGGTTTTTGGGGGGTTTTAGGGTTTTGGATCTTAGGGTTTAGGGTTTGGGGTTTTAGGGTTTTGGGGTTGTAGGGCTTTGAAGTTCGGGCTTTCAGGTTTAGGGCTTATAGGGTTTAGGGTTAAGGTTTGAGGGGTTTGAGGTTTGGGGCTTTTCGGGGGTAATGGGATCAGGGTTTAGGGGTCCTGGGCGCTGATGATAGGGCTTCGGGCGTTTAGGGTCTAAGCTTTCAAGTTTGCTGGTGTCTTGACAAGACCTTAAGATTCCAGCTTGCCCCTAAACCCTAAACCCTAAACCCTAAACTCTAAACCCTAAACCCTAAGCCCTAAACCCTAGGGTTTAGGGTGCTCAAATCAGCTTTCGGGTGTGGAGGGCCTTGTCGCCTGACCTTGGGTAAGACCGAGCAGCAGTAGGGGTCCTTTGCGAGTTGGGGTTAGAAGCCTGAGGAAGTGTAATATAGGGGCCTTAGTAATCAGAATAGGTTTTGGGGCCCATTATACTATACTTGTACTCATAATATTAATAATCATCATACTAATAATAATCGTAATAGTAGTAAGGAACCCCAGAATATTGCTAGTAATTATTTAGGCCCTGGTTTTAGGCTTTGTGTTTGGGTTGACGAGGGTTCAGGTTTTGTTGGGGGAGAGGGGAGGCGGGAGTCCTGTCTTGGCTTCGAAATTCTACTGGGGGGGTTGTTGGGGGAAAGGTGTTTTTTGGTGCTGGTTTTGTACCCTGAACTTTAACGGTTTAGGGGTTTAGGGCTTAGGGCTCCTATGATATACCCGACCAAGACCTGCATATTCTGGTTAGCTTGTTTGCAGAATCCCACGCCTGGCCCTGATACTGTTGAGTGCAAGTATCCATTGGTGCTAGCTTTTCCAAGAACTCACCAAGAGCAATTGGAATGTGTGTGTGTGTGTGTGTGCGCGTGCGCGCAAAATTCCAAATGTTCGTGACGTGAGGGTCTAGCCAAGTTTAAGGTGCAAGCCATCATTCGCTAAGAGTAAGCCTGCGGTAATTCTACAGGCGGCATGCAATCGCAGGGGCAGCAGCAGCTACGCTCCCAAGAGACGTTTGCTGTATTGGCATCGGTAGGCAGTCTCATAACAAAGTAACAGTTCATGACTCGCCACGCCAAGAGTA